TCTTAGGGGCAAAGGGAGACACTGCAGTCCAGATGTCTCAGGTAAGCTGTGTGTCACCCCACACCTGTTTCACTTGCCAAAAGTTGCTGAGAAGGGAGGGTAGGAATGGGATCATACTGTTTCATTGGTCATGGCATAAAGAAAAAAGAGCCAGTCTACTCCAGTAAGATTTACTTTTTAAAAAAATAATTTCCTTTTAATTTATGTACACTGGTATTTTGCCCACATATATGTCTCTACAGGATGTGAATGCCTCTGGAACAGGAGTTATAGCAGTTTAGAGCTGCGCTATGGGCAGTGAATTAAACCCAGGTCCTCTGGAAATGCAGCCAGTGCTTTTAACTGCTGAGCCATCTCTTTACCCTGACCCACCAATTAAGACTTCTTTCAGGGCAATGAGCTTTCCAGACTAATACCTTGGAAGAACTCTCAAAATTGTGTCCAGACTTACCTAGAAAATGGTGCACAGATAGATTCATGCTAGCCATGTGGCACAGGGCTTTAATTCCAGCTACTAAGGTGAGTGAGGAAGGAGGATCCCAAGTCCAAGGCTAGCTAAGGCAACTAAGTTTCTAATGAAAAGTTTTATCAAAGGTGGAGAGGAGGCATTGTGAGCATAACTCAGTGGTAGAGCTGGTAAACTCTTGCTTAGCATTTGTTTGGAGCTAGGGTCAGTCCCAAGTACTGCAATGGAAAAAAAAAAAAGATGTTGAAATTACTTGAAACATGGGTTGCTAAGATCTATATTATTTTTAGAGTAATAGACTTTATAATTATTTCTTAGCAATTAAGGCTAATTCCTGCTTTAAATTGTTTTAATACCAACCTGCTTCACATCAGAGCCTTTCTTACTTCACTACCTTCAGCTTGAAAATTATATTTACAACCACAACATCTCATTACTGAGCTTATAATATCTTATTCTTTTCCTTCACAGGCACTTGGCTTAAACACAGACAAAGACATTCATCAAGGCTTCCAAAGTCTGCTCAGTAACTTGAACAAGCCCAACAGAAAATACTTGCTTAGAATGGCCAACAGGCTCTTTGCAGAAAGCACTTGTGAATTCCTCCCAGTAAGTTATATCAATAGAATGATGTCAATTATATTCAAATACTTGTTCATATAGATCCCTATTGAAGGACTGTAGCTGAAGTTTTCCTGTGTCCCACCTGGCCCATGGTCAGGACAAATCTCTCACCCACTAGTCCCGCAGTCGCTTGGACCCAAGTAAACACACAGAGGCTTATATCAATTAAAACTGCTAGGCCATTAGCTCAGGCTAACTATTGACTAGTTCTTACTCTTAAATTAACCCATAACTTTTTATGTTTAGCCATGAGGCTTGGTAGCTTTTCTCAGTTCTACCTTCACATCTTGCTTCCTCTGTGTGTCTCTGGTGACTCCTGACTCATCCTTCCTGTTGCCAGAATTCTCCTCTCTGCTTATCCCGACTATACTATACTTCTTGCCTGGCTACAGCCCAATCAGCGTTTTATTTATTAACCAATCAGAGAAACCCATTAACAGCATACAGAGCGATATCCACAGCAAAGGACCCTAGAGAACCTGAGGAAATTAAGGATTAAGTTCTACAGCAAAGGACCCTAGAGAACCTGAGGAAATTAAGGATCAAGTTCTAGTCAGTGTGATTGTCCACATCTATAATACTTGATTTTAGAATACTGAGACAGGAGTCCATGAGTTCTAGGCCAGCCTAGGCTACATAGAGAGACTCAACTCCTGAACCTTGCCCAAAGACCGCAATTCTATAATGATACCTTGAAATATTCCAAGTCAGAAATATTATTATTATTATTTATTCATGTAATTTTTAATTTATTCATATCTAGTTATTCCCATTTATAAAGGCCTAGGACAAAAAGATGTTTGTTCTTTAAAGTGATATTTACACTCATTTTAAGTTTGGTTGTATTTTATTTTTTTTAATGCCATAGTATTCAGAAGATTGGAAAGTTTGCTGACACTATATTTTGCAATGTTACCTCACTGAACACGTTTCTCTCCAGACCTTTAAGGAGTCCTGTCTTCAGTTCTACCACTCAGAGCTGGAGCAGCTGTCCTTCGTCAAAGCAGCAGAGGAGTCCCGGAAACACATCAACACGTGGGTCTCCGAACAGACTGAAGGTCAGGATTTCAAGTTATTTCACACCCACATTCTTGTCCTTTCCATCCATCCCTCCCTCCTCTACCCTCCCTCCTTCCTCTTAATTTTCTCTTCTCCCCCTCCCCCCCACTGAATAATTTCACTGTTATTTCAAAGAGTCAAAGTGATGCAGACTAGCTAGGTCAAATGATATAATTCAGACCTCAAGTGTATTCATGGGATTCATGAGATTTTACTCAGACACTTAGACTTTAAAAACAGAGTTGTTTGTGTATTTCTCTAGGAGAGAGGGGCTGATACAAATGTCCTGAGAACTCATAGGCCTGATTTCCAGTCTAACAGTTTACCTTAGAAGACACGGATGGTCTGCAGTAATGGTAGGCCAGGTGACTCCACCATCTCTAAGATGGAGATGCGTGGGTAGATGTTCCCCATAATCTGGTCCTGGGCTGGATCTTCCTACAATCTGTGTTCCCTGGACACCACCACCTTTACCTCTCAAGAGGAGTTCTGTTTCTGCTTCCATATTTCCTGCTTCAGATCCCTTACTTAATTTGATGAAACTAGACTTGATTTCCTCTTTCAGGGCTGCTCAGTTACACTGACTCAATGCGGGTTGAACTTAGTTGTTTTTATTTCAGAGATGACATGTTCCAGCATTGAACTTGGAGATCATTGAGATCATTGTCTGATAATTAAACCATTCAGATGCCTCTGTAACACTAGGTACATTCCTATTTCTGCTAAAAGAGAGAGAAAAAGAAACAGACAGACAGACAGACAGACCAAATAGAATGAGAATATTTTCTTAACATCTCAGCAATTGTTTGTGAATTTTTTGTTGGAGTCCTTACTTCTTGTGTACTCTTGATGTCATAAATTAGCAAGGATTGTCTTGATCATTGAAAGGATACTCCTTAATAGGATCATGAAAGAATACTCCTTAATAGAGAAGAAGAGATGGATGGGACTCTGAAGTGTAGAATAGTAATACATCCTCCAAACTAGTATCTGTACTTGAGTGTCTGACATACTGTGGTATGTAGAGCCGGGCATGATGACAGAGTACTAGATGCTGTATTTCACAGCAGTGTATTCGTCAGAGTGCTCTAGAGGAACAGAATTTTACTAAGGGGATTTAATAGAATGGCACACACAATACAGGCTGAGTAATCAGCTACTGGCCATCTGCTTATGGAGAAGCTGAGAATCTGGTAGCTGCCCAGTCTATGAGGCTGGAGACCTTAACAGTCAGTTGGTAATGAAAAGCCTAGACGTTTCTGGAGAGTCACTACTCTTAGTCCATATGGGCTCCAGTGTCAGCTGAAAATAGCAGTTGCAGAGATGTGAACAGTGTCGATGCACTCACCAGCAGGGACTGAGGCAGGCAGACCAAACAGTGCTGCTTCCCTCTCAGTCCTTATATCAGGGCAGCACAGGAAGCCTTTGCTTCCTTGGAAGAGCGTCCTGTCCATTAGTTACTCTTTCTGGGAAATGTCCTCACAGACCTGCCCAGAGACATGTCTCTTGGTTGATTCTAGAACCAATCAAGATGGCAACCAACATTAGCACCCAGGTGGAAAGTCTGGTGCCCTGTGACCCCTTCTACATATCCTGCTTCTTTGTTTTTCATCCTGGAGTCACTTTTTCTGCTTTTCCCAAACATGCTTTCCTTGAGAGACTTGGAAGTTTTTCAATATCCACATACTTGCCATGTTCTTCCAGTGTGCATGGCATCAAGTCAAAAATGGGTGTTTGTATGTTGTTTTGATTTTTTTAAATATGTTTATCCACATTCCACAAATTTGAAAGCATGATGCTTGGACCTGCCCAGATGTCAGATCAGTTCATTTCTCACATGTGTATAACATGATCCTGAATGAATCTCTGCTTCCTCAAAAGGGAAAATTCCAGAGTTGCTGTCGAGTGGCTCAGTTGATTCTGAGACCAGGCTGGTTCTTGTCAACGCCTTATATTTCAAAGGAAAGTGGCAAAAAGAGTTTGACAAAGAACGCACAAGGGAAATGCCCTTTAAAATAAACCAGGTAAGGAACAGTGTCCAAAGGTCCACACCAGTGTGGTGGAGAGATTGCATGCGAGGGTGTGATTGTGAATGTGTAGCTCTGGAGCTCAGAGGTAGAGATCACATGTCCTGTGTGGGTGCTGGGTTTTATCCTCAGCCTAGAAAGCGAAAATGAGAAAGCACAGAAAACCATTTCAAACATATATTTCTGAACGAAAGGTTAAACTCTGTAGAAAATGATAAAAATAAAGAGTATTTTCTCCTTGTGTTATTTTACATCCTGATGGTGGTTCATACTGCTTCTGGTAATTTCTCATAAAACCATTGTTCCTACCTCATTTTAGAAATTAAATTTTCCTTAC